TTGTGATGTGACGAGGTGAGCCACCTGTTTGTCTGGCATGCGCACCAGCATGCGAGCAAGCTTGTCTGCACCCCCTTCAGTTATCACTTTCATTGCGATATCCTCGACGTAGGCATCCGTCCCAATGGGGACTCCCACAACTGTGATGCCCTCCTCCGCAATCGGTAGGCCTGCATCGCCAAGTAGCCTCCTTTCTGCTGGCGTCACGTCGTGCCCTGGTGGGGGAAGCGCTGAGCTCTTCCCCCTGTTGACGATGATGCCCACTGCTTCAAGTTCGTCGACGAGGTCCGGTATCACCTGAATATTTTCCGCTGTGATATTTTTGAAGTGCAGGCTGATGTCGTCCATATAAGCTTTCAAGCATACCCCGAGGTGGTCGTACTTGGCTCTAAGCTTCAAGACGATCGGGACTAGGATGAAGCAGAACAGGGGCGGTCCCATTCCATCTCCTTGCTGCACACCGCTCTTGCACTCGATCGTCCGACGCTCTCCGGAGTCCATCGTGTATATCGCCTTTGCCGGGATTTCGTCGTAACACCTGGCGATGTACCCCACGAGATCTGGGACGCTCTTTGCGGCCTGGGCCATTATGGCGGTGCGCTTGCCCGTGTTGAAGGCATTTGAGCAATCCGTCTGGACTACCCAATGACCTGTCTGATGAACCAGTTGTGCGTTCATCGCAACTTGTTCAACTCCTCCAGCTACCGCCACTCCGAATTGGTCCGCTTCCCGAAATATTTCTTCCAGTTTCGGTTTCCACTCCCTGACCGTTCCCGCTGCAATCAGCCTTCTCCAAGTCATTCCAATGCACACTGGACGGCACTTTTCACCGAGGGCGATTAGACTGGATTGTTTCCAAAGAGTCCAGAACTCCGGTGGGAACGCGTTGGGATCGTTGATGAGCCTCCTCCAAAGGTGCGACATCGCGTTGCTGAACTCTTCCCGACCAATTTTAGTGTTGACGATGGACTTAAGGTGGGAGAAACGTTGCCCGTCATTTCCTGCTCCAGAGTTAGAGCTTCTGCTGTTGATGACTTGAAGGAGTACTTGTGGATCGAACTCGGTTTCTGGCCTCCATCTCGGGGCGCTTCCTTCCTCCTCCTCGGTGCGGCTTGCAGCTATGGCTTCGGCGATGGCCTGCTCCACTTGTACGGGATCCTCATGCGGAAATTTGGCTTTCAGACGTGCCCATGTCTCGTCGTTCCCCGGTGACGGTTGATCGGCTAGGAGCGCTCTTGCTGCGTCCTTCACGCCTCCAGAGTGCCGGCACGCCCTCGCCGCCCTTTTGAACTTGTCGTCGGGTGTGTCGACCCGTGCCGGTCCCCTGCTCCTTGCACTCGCCGCCTTGGTATACTCAATCAGCCAAAGAAGAACGGACGATATATCCCCTCTTTTGAGCGAGTTGTAGCGTTTTTTTCGAGCTATCCGACCATCAAAGGAGTGCAGAATACCTGGTAGGAGGTACCAAAGTTTGATGACCCGGATAGTGGAAAGTGGGGTCCCGGTCGCCGAGGAAGCTCCGCCGCCTTCTGCTAGCTGCTTGTTAACCAGGTGGAGCACGTGAGTTTGGAGACGGGCATGGTCGGAAGCAAACCTAGGTTGAACTTTCTTCACCGACATTCTTGCGTGAGGCCATCTGTAGGTCGTCACGTCCACTGAACTCAAAGAGTGCTCTCGTGGGGGGCGAAGGGGTATCATGACAGCGCTGGGAGCAGCACCGACTCACGAGGGACGTTTCTAGCCGGTTGGTTTCGCCCGTGCTTGTCACCCTTTCCCTGTCCGGGTCTCCTCCTTTTGGTTATCTCACTGCGCTCGGTCCCGAAATGTTTGCAGCATCATCACCGTTCGGCCACCCTGTACAATGCGTCACGACCTCGCCGCGCACACGCCCAGACGTTGCAGCATCTACCATAGTGTGTTTCCCTTGTGCTTTGTACTTTGTTTCACTATATTATATACCATGCGAGACCAACCCACTAATGACCCCCGCAATACCGTCCGTAACGTATGGTAGACTTTACAGAGAAGTCTACATTGACTAGATGATGAGTAGAATGAGCTCTACAGACTAGTCAATATGATGGAGTGCTTTTTGTGTCATTGGTCTACTGCTGTATGTTTTGTCTAGAACACATTCTCATCTCCACTACACTATTGGCCGAGGCTTGGTGACCACACATAGGTACTGTAGTCTGCTGAGTCTTCATGTATCATGGCTCCATTGATGCACATCTCCGACGTTTAGACTGTGCATGCATGCGTGCACTCTTGACCCCCTCGTAGAATGAAGCAAGTCAGGAATCTATAGGTGCATGATGGTGTTGCCGCAAATCGTTCGGCCGTGATTTGTTTCTGTTCAATCACACGCTTACGTTCCTTGTGCCGTCTTTTGAAGGGGTCGCACCGCGGTGTCGTGGGCACTTCAAATTTCAAGAGTGTCCACACGTGTATGTGAATGTAGACTATTTGAGTCTAGACTACGAGTTGAAGGCTAAACACTGTCGCAGCACGCACTAACGCAAAAAAGAACACAAACGTGAAAAACAGATAGCCCTTGTTTTGCTGGGGTTGAACCCGAGACCTAGCCCTTGGAACGTGTCAAGGCAAACTGTAATGTGTCGAAATAATGTACACAAGCATCGAGCTATTTTGGCAGCAAAACTACACCACCTCTCGAGCAGTGTTCCCTTGAAGATGTTGGGGGACAAGGGCACATACTGACATGTGCAACCTTTTTTTGCCGCTCATGGCTATCAAGAAGACAATGAGGAAGCAAACTGCGTGATTCACCCTTGATAGGTTCCATTTGGCGTTAGCAAGCATCGTGAGGCAGGTTCGGCACTGAAATATCATTCTTGATTCCTGATATAATGAAAGTCTGACGTGGTAGTGCCCCCAAGCTTGCGCTCCTACCGGTTCGAGGTGAAAGGAAAACCCACGCATGATATCATTGTTGCGTATCATTTGGCCCTAATCCTGGAGAGGAGGGTTCACCACTGCGTTTCTGTTCGGCTAGAGGCACTCTCAAGAGCGCAGGTGTGCCCTAGGAGAATGGATCGTGTTGTGATGAACCCCTGGAAGAGCTGGAATTCCGCGTTCGAGCACGTCTGTTTCGACGGGTAATCATTGGTACACAGAGATACGGAGGGGCATTGCGGTGTTCGCCCGCCCTTTTAATGCTGCAGAATGTGTCGCATGAACGTTGAGGCTCTCACGGATGCTGTTGCCACCGTTTGGTGGCGACGTGCCTCGGTGAGTGAAATTCGTTTGATGCGTTGCACATGGGCAACAAGAGGTACCACAGCATTTTTTGTGAACTCGTACTTTCGTGCTCGAGCAGCGTCGAGAAGTCACGGCGACAATATCATCCGTTCACCAACAGCCCAACGAGTACAACGAACGTACGAAACGCCCTACCGGTCTCCTGCCCAGGATACATGATTCTTTCTGATCGAATGCCGCGCCCGGAATGGGCAACCCCGCGTCTACCGTGTCTAGATGGAGTCTACGTATTATGGCGTTGCATCTTGAATCCTCTACCCTTGAGTTCCATGCAAAAAGATGGGACGGTCCATAGCAACAAGTGGTGCGCGGGGACTAAAAATTGGTTTACATTGTTGAGGGGATGGGCACCCACCCAAACTTACCGTCATGCGTTCCACCAAAATGGGTCAAAACGGACATACATGTGCGTAACGTGAACAGCGACTGACGCAGTTCAGTGTCAATGAATATCGAAGAGAGGCAGCTGTACTGCACATGCGTTTACGAATGGGCCTTCAAATTGCGAGCGACTTTTGTCATGGGATGAAGGAAATACAATAATTCTTGTAGAAGGCACGCCCACCGGCCATCCATGTTGATGTTACCGGTCGCGGCGAGGAGTGAAGGCTGTTACCCGCCCCTGCTCAAGGGTATGCTGTGGAATACATTTAATGGCATGCATGATATTTCGCCCATCGTTGGGAGCCAGATCTCGAACGCAGTCTGTCTGTGTGGCGGATCCATCCGCTGTCTCAAATATCCCGAAGAATTTCAGAGTGTGTTTCACTCCCCGAAACACTACTGCTGTATGCTAGAGATCGCTTTCACAGTACAGGCGCTAGCGCGATTCACACGAAAAATAGTCGTGGCCGTCAAACCATCTACTTCGCAGTTGTTGGTGTTCTCGGTGAAGGTCACATATGCATCAAATGGTGTGGGGCAAAACTAGTCTCCTAACGTTCCGTGGAAGCTCGACAAGCAGATTTCGTGAAAGCTGTGTGGACGCACGCATACATTGGCGACAGACACGCCCACCTTACCACCAAATGCCGGTGGTGCCGTCCAAATTTCTTCGTGGAACTTGCCGAGAGACAATGGCTGGTTTCCGTTTAAGTTGCAGCTCAACATGATCGACGTGCCATGAATACCCAAACCCCCCCCATCCCACAGGCATGACTTCGTACAAGGTCGCTGTATCCCAGGGAAGGTAAGCAAATATTCATTGAAACTGACGCGCCTTTCGTTTCCATGGAAGACGAATCGAAGAATCCCTTCGAAGCTGAGAAACCTTTGGTGGAGGAAGTAATGACTTTCACGGACGGTTTCAGATTGGGTGTTGATTATGGAAGCAATGAAGTGTGAATCGACTTTTTGACGCACTCAAGCAGAAGGCTTCCATGCCTCCCTTCCATGGAAGTGTCGCTCAATTCCCATCGAAGTTTGGCGTGGAGGAAGCTGAACACATTTGGCCTGGTCCATCCTGGCTGCCAGCTCCTCCCGGATAGAAGGTTCGCTTGGTTCCATGGAAGGAAGCTGGACACATCGAACATATCATCAGTGTCGTTGCGAAGTTCGACTCTGGCTGGCTGACTGACATCACCCACCGGTCAAGTGTGTTTTCGGCCAATCAGAACTGATCGGGACCGATGTTGACCACGAGAAGCTGCGCACACTGGTCTGCGACTTTTCCCCACAGCAGCAGCGGTTTCTTCGGCTTGGATCAAAAGCGGAGCGTGGTTTCGGTGCAAACGCACGTTTGCGCCTCTCGTACGCCACGGTCAGGCGGCATGAAAATGCCCCCTCGGGGCTGCCCACAATCAATTGTCACGACATTTGATGAGAAAAACGCCGAAAGTTTCACTCTTGAGGCCAGATTTAAACGTACAACCCAAACGTCCGAACCGCGTAGTTACCGCTTGAACACCAGCCAGGTTTAGCTGTCGTACTTCAACCAAACACGCGCACAACCCATTCGTTTCAACCATATCCGTCCTCTCCACTTGCATCAACGCTTTGCGTATCTGTTAAATGAGCGAAAGAAGAAGCGTGATGCTATTTGTAATAAACCCACATCGCTCGTCCGAAGCAGCTTCATTCCCGAACACGTCCACGATCCACATCGATGCTTGCAAAATTCGGAAACCAGTATAGACTAAAAGACCCCAAGCAAGTCAATCGAATCCTAACACTTGGTCGTGGGGCTATCTCAGGCCATATACAAGTATCTACAAGCCACGAGTCGGCGCCGTCTCATCTTGCTCGGTTGCAAAGCACGTGCGCTTAGGGGGAATCCAAGGGCATGCCAGAAAACACGACGGCAACGTAATCACACTTCGTCCGTGAAAACTAAACAACCGCGAGAGGACCCCTGCCGCTGGTGGTGCCTTTTCGGCCAATCCAAAATTCTAAACCCCACACCACCCTTTCGTGGGGGTTGATACATACAAGCCAAGCCGCGGCTCTTGTGCAGCTTCACCGCCGCCAGCTTCAGGTACACGGCCCCTTGCTTGGTCAATAACGACGGTCTCTCGTGCGCAACCTAATGCTTCAACGGAACACGACTCGTTATGACACAAACACTTCCCAAACGACAAGCGCACAATCCCGATGTGGGCAAAGACACAACAAAAACCCACCGCACACCGGAAAAAAAAATGAAATTGTTTCACAAGCACATCATTTTGCGCCTCCTGCACCTCCTCGTCCCCCACCCCCTGAGCTCTTGTTCGTCCGCATCTTGGACAAGAGATCTCGTTGCTTCTGCGTCAGCTCTTTCCGATCCCTCGATGGCGGAGCACTTGCAGAGGCTGAGGACGCCGCTGTCCCCGCGCCTTCCTTTTTATCATTGGAACCTTCTTTCTTAGACTTCTGAAATATAGAGGAATTAGGTCATGACGCGGACACGGGCGCGGGTGGGGAGGGCGGGGCGAAGAACGGGAGGTGAGCATCGTCTAGCGACCAGGAACAGCTTACCGACCTGTGAGTGGGACCCAAAAATATAGGTGAGTAGCTGAGGCGACTGGCCTCCATACCACTCCTCCAGTGCTGCAATGTCTTCTCCCATGCCACACCAAGCGACACGGCCTCGCTGCTGTCTTTGGCGGGCAATATCCCGTATGTACCATGATAATGTAATGTTTTTTAACGTCCGCAGAGGCTGACACACAAAGCACCACGTCTGCTATAGACTCTACCAAGTACGCCACAAACCTCTCCTAGACCCGCCCAAGTCCCGATGGTGGCCGCGCGGTTGACCCAAGGCGGGATCCTTTTCCCGACAAGGGCGAAGGCGAATTCGTTGCAGAAGTGGTTGCAGTTATTGCGAACGACGTCGTACTCTCCCTCCGCGAATCCCTCCGCCTTGAGGCCGTTGAGGATGCGCCGCACGTCTGGAATGGTCCCGATGAAGTCCCCCAGCACCTGTATTGCATGTGGTATGTGGCACAGTTTTTTTCCGTTTAGGTCCGTTGGTCAAGGAGACGGGGAGCGTATTGACGTGTACCTTATCGCATTATTTGTAATAAAATGATCTACCGAGACGCCATATGCATCGCCATGGAGGGTTGTGTGCATGCCCAACCGTGGGGGGAGGAAAACTGAACCGGCTGCGTGGTTTCTGCCACGGTACGGGGATCGGTCTTTCCAAACTAAGGCTGCGCTTACACCACCCACCAATAAATACGCACGTGGTTGACGAGTTAGGCGCGTCGACTAGAGCGCAGTGACGATCTAGTTGCCGGCAGGTTGCGGGTCATCGCACAGATCGGCTTCATCGCACAGGGATGCGAATAAAAAACACAAATCACACCAAGTGAAATATTTCGATTTCCGCACGGGTGCCGGGGACCCGAACCTGCCGGCTTTGCGACGCAATTGTCGCCGTGCCGGCACACTCTTGCCAGGTGCAAGGTGCCGGAGAGATCGAAAACTCAAGCTCACACCACGAAACTACTGCATGATACCAGCTTTCATGCGCCCGAACTGAGGAAGGATACTACCAAGTATCGCTTGCTCCTGTCGTTCAGCCGGCCGCTCCAAGATGTATCTACAAGATCGTGCGCACCGGGGTACAAGCAGAATTCCCGACATGTGAAAACATCATGCTCTCGATGTAGCTCTGCAGCATTCCAGCACGCGAAATAATCAGCGACGCCTTCTCTTTCATAGGAAGATGGTGCTGTGCGCACGCTCTGCTTGTAATGTACCCTCCCCATCATAACTCTTGAGAAAACCCAGGTAGTCACAGGCTATAGGCCCAGACAAGAATCAACCAGGCCTCTCTGCGCCCGTGGTAAACGGGGAGCACACTGGCCTTTCTCACCAATAGCGAACAAAATGCCAAAACATGCGAACAAAATAAAACCAATCCACCTGCCTCGGTCGTCTTGAACGAGACGCCGTCCCCTGCGATCTGGCGAGGTGGGTGTTGCCCGACCCCGGCCTCGCTGAACGTATATTCGACCCCGCCGATCTCCAGCCCGCTGTGGTATGCCCCCAGCCCAATGTGCTGTAGCCACGAGTTCGACTGGTGAAGGTCGTACACCTGTTTCGGCAGAAAAACAGCGCGGAGTACTTCCGTTTTGTTCTTGACGGGGCGGTGGTTCAACGGGCGCGACATGTCATCATCATCGAGAAACGCACCGATCATCGCGAGAGAGAGGAATTGCAAAAAATGTCTTCGACGGCATTGTAAGTGTGGCGAAGCGAACCCCTGCAGGACGCCACGACCGGATGATCACATGCCAAGCGTCACATGTGGCAGCGTGTGACTGGTTGTACGTTCGTTCGCTGCTTTCATGACAACCAAATCAGCACTACCGGAAACGCGGCGTAATTGACCGGTCAGCGGCATCGGAGCAACTTAGTCTGACACACTGATCAAAGACAATACCCCGGGTACGCTCTCATAGAATCAGTCAAGAAGAGATGAAATCGAAAGTGAAACAATGTGCACCCCAGCAGAGCACCTACGCATCAAGAGGCTGAAATTCTGCGTCGATAACACCACTGCTCCCTCGCACTCCGAAGCGAGCAACCGGACGAAACAGGCAGAAGCAACGTGCGCGTTCTTACTTCTTGCGGCAAGACAGCTCACATTCAACTGGACCGGCCGCACCCCTGAGCTCATGTTCAAGAATGTACTCGACCACCCCGAGGCCCGAGGCAAGCACGCCACGCAAGAGAGACACAGGAGCACTACAGCAGGACAGGAAGCATCATTGAAGTTTGCTTGTTCTTGGGAAGGGGGGTCGTAGAATCGAAAAGAATGAACGGACCCCCTTGCCACGTCTCGATACGTCGCACTCTTCGATCACTTGTTATCCTCTGTCGCAATGTAATTTTTGTGCATGATGTCTCTTGCAGCTTCTATCACGCCCTCTCTCTCGAGACGTGGTATTTAGGCTGAGGTGATGGGTCTGGTGGGGGCAGAAAAAAAATGCGAATGAGCATGGATGTGCGTCGAAGATGCACGGTACTACAGCAGTAGTACCATGAACTACAGTTTTTCCAGCTGTGTGATGTACGGCATCTCTCATCCAAAATTCATTTTCCTCCCTCACCCGCAACAGTACAGGATGATCACGGGCGTTCTCTACTGTTTGCTGAAGACTGCACGGGGTGGTTTGACTGCTCTATGTACATTCATTTTTGCATGGGTAGTCTAGACTAGGATGACGACGGAACGATTAGACTATACTGCACAAACAATCATACATGCTTTGCGGTATTTCTCGCAGTACTGTACTGTGCACCTTCAAAGCAACAGACGAGACGGTCCCGGCATCGGGCGGTACAAAAATATTCATTCGACCATGTATTTCGCCCCGTACATGTCGTCACTATTTCAACAAGTGATCTTCATCACATGTCGTCCACCGTCAGTCAGTTGTAGAAAACATAAAAATAACCGGGGCCAGCCGCCAGAAGGTTAAAGATTAGACTAATAGTCTGAATACGCAGCAAATAATAACAGCATCTCCTCCGGCTACTTCGCTCGCGTAACACATGCGATACCGTCACAGCCCACCCTACCATAAGGTTTCTTGCCCGTCTACAAGAGTGGCGAACAAGGCGCCAAACCATCGAAGGTCCAAACATCATACCACAAGGCAGGCACAAGATTCCTTGCCAAATGTAGGATTTCCCTTCCATCACACACCCTTTCCCTAATAATAGTGACCTCCTACAGCCATACACTACGGGCCCGCAGGAAACATTTTTTTTGTGAAGAAACAAGAGGCCCACAGTTCCACGAAATATCAGAAAAACGGGTTGAGATGCACACCTCAGCGGTGAACCCTTTTATTGTACCCTTCCTGCCCTTGCTAACAACCATGTGCTCGACAAGGAGTGGCGACGAAATAAGAAGCTGAGTCTCGACCCGATTTTATCGGTTCGTATCTCCAGGCGTACACTGTACTTTTGACTGCAACGTGGCAGGGGCAGGTTGGACCTCAAATTGTACCAGGCCAACCTGCGGATCTTGACGTCGCCCCTTCCTGTTCGTGGATGTCAAAGAAGCTCTCGCTCGAGGACAGTAGCTGCGGAAACACTGCTGCTGTACAAGTAGTACATGCCATTGTTGACGTTGACCACCACTTCCCTTGCCGATGCACAGCGCAGAGAACTTTCAATTGAAAGAAAACGTGCCAACCACACGAATGAACGCATTTGGAACAAGAAAAGATACCCAGAAGCAAGAGAGATGTGAATGCTGCAAACGACCTCGCCGTCTCGTGATGAGGCGGACAACAGCACTTCAAGAAAACGACGGGGGAAGCGGATGGTCGCATAGCAAGCAGTGTCCGACACCAGGCACATATTTAGTTCGGTATACAAGCCTTGGTCTTGCCACCAACCTCGTCAATCCCTGCCGAAAGCTTCCCATCGTGGTCTCCTCGCAACACCTATCCGCCAAACGGACAAAAAAGGCCCCTGGCCTCAAACAAGCACGATCCGAGTACACACAGACGAAACACAAACGTCGACCCGTGACCCCAAACCAAAAAGGATGAGCACCCGTGTGGGTCTGTCCATGTCAGCAAAAACAACCTCTTGTTTACAAGGACCAGAACCGCCGCGCCTTTGCTTCGACGCCGCTGACAAGAAGGACTTCCTGCACAAGATTAACAGGTCGAATTTACATGGCAAGGTTGAAGGCTTCCTTGGGGTGTCATTGCAACTGCTTGTCGAACATTGACTCACGAGAAAACAACGCACATGCCTGTTTACCTTATGCCCACACTCGGTAGTACCCGACAAGGAGCCTCGGCCAAAGATAAGGGCGCAACGCTCCGTGGACCCCAACCCCCCACATTTCATGCTTCACCCAAGACCCCCAGTCCCTGCAGCACAAAGGTGTATCTCTCACCACACAGGCCGCATCGTTTTCGATCGCATCACATCGGCCGGGAGTGAGAAAAAAAAAAAACATGCACACAATCCGAGACGCATAGGGCGAAGTCACAAGAAACCTCCACGATTCACAAAACACCGCACAACAACAGAAAACTTAAATATTATTTAACACAGACAATAATGACGGTATATAGACACGACCAAAAAAATCCCCGCCACCGACACCAACAACAGCAGTACAGCAGCCCACCTAACCAACTACCTACCACTTATCGCCAGACGCCGTCGACAACGCCTGCTACTTCTCACAACGACCGCCACAAAACGCCCACACTAACGAGGGCCTGAAATCAAAGGAAGCAAGGATAGCGCCGTCCAGTGATTCTAAACAATCGTTTGTGCAAGAGTAGCCCCCCCTCCCCGCCCCCCGCCCCCCTGCCCTGGGAATATCACACACTTTGGTACCCCTGCAGTAGCCTCAAGCCCCTTGTTGAATCGCCCGTTCTTTGTGCCACCCCTGCTGTCTGCGTGCGTTGTGTGCGTGGGCTTCGACGCCATCACCTTCAGGTCCACCGTCATCACGTACGGTTAAACGGTACTCCCCGTTTCCACACCGGTCGTACAACCCGTCGTGGTACTTGAGTCACCCCTTGCTACCCCCTCCCTCTTCACTTTCGTCTTCCTGTGATGCTCTTGCCCGTACAGACATGTCTACATAGAACTGAGTACGTCGGTCCAATGGGAGACGCCATCCTGCTGCGGGACACGTGCCGCTGCAAAATTGAGAGCAACCGGCACAAAATCCCCTCAGAAGCCATGTGGTATACGCTGCCTTGGAGAACTCTCGAAGTACGCTGGGAGGGAATACGGGGTGGGGGGGGGTCTCGGGCCTACAGAAGGGCCGAGCTATTATGATAGTGTGCCGTCCGCGAGTGGTCTGATTCCTTCCCCGCTCCGTCCCTCCTCAAAGACCCGCCGCAGGAGGTCCGGGCAGCAACCGAACTGCGGAACTTTCGCACGGGTGAAGGCCCAGACAGCCTCCTCGACCTCGCCGCCGCTGTGTCGCTGGCCTGCGCCGCCGTCTCCGGTCCGCTGCTGCTACGTATCGGCGGCCAAAAGGTCGGGCAAGGATAAAAATCGCGGCACGTCAAACACCAAGAACAAGGTCGAACACCATAAACAAGGAAAGCAGTCTCAAGTTTTCAAGAACGAAAAAGCCACGCAAAGCAAATTGCAGCCGCACGTTCCCGTCGAGAGACGTTTCGTGCCGATTCGGCGGGCGGGTTTCTTTTCGCCGAGGAGCAGTTTGCAGCAGCGTTAGGTCTGCGCGCGCCGTGGGCGTGCGGTTTCCACCGAGGGCCGCATGTGAGCCTAGGAATACAAGAAATAAAAGCATTAAGGATACGGTCGACGCTCCTATGCATACCGTCCCCGCGATCATGCCTCCTCCTCGCACCTTTCAGTGCTTTCTGTGGGGCCGGCCTCCCACGCGAGCACGCTACGGCGGTGCTCTGCGTTTTTGAAGTGGAACAACGCACGTCCGGTCGGCAAACGTACCTGGCCCTTTACGTAGGGTGATCGCGCGTGGTCCATCAAATGCGCCCGACCGCAAAGGAAGTGGTTTCGGGACCGTGGGACGTTACGTGCTGACCTCCTCGCTCACGTACGAGACCCAACGACTAGACTAGACCGCGAGCCACTCAGCGAACAGCGGCAAGAAGAACGAGCGCTACTGCTGTCGCCACGGAAGCGATAACCATCTCCTACCCCCTCCCGACCCTGATGGGCTGAACCAAAGCAAGCAAGCTCACCCCAGCAGGAGAAGCGGCATCGGCGGTGGCGGCGGCTGCGACGGCGAAAGCGAAGAGGCCCTCTCCGATCATCTCCCCTACTACTGCCCCGAGACCGGTCACCGCACCATCCACCAGCGTCGGCGGAGCGTTTCCTTCCGTGCCCAGCAAGATCTCCAGACAGCAGAGGAACTGTGTTCGGGCAATAGCAGGTTAGGGGCGGGGGGGGG